GGGAGCTTACCCTTCAAAGGGTACTGCGCCGCTTTGTGCGCGAATTTTGAAATCGCTGCGATTTGTCCATGCATCACGCAGGCGGGACTCGTTCCTGCGAATGATTACAGCCCGGACGGGTCATGGTTGCGGTTTAGTGGATGCTTTTTTGTATTAGCTAACTTTTCTTATGTGTTGCTTGTTAGGCATTGTGGAGTAACTCGTAGATATTGATTTGTGTTGTCACGGTTGTTCTAGGTAGCATAATTGCCATGATGTTTTTTAGATGCTTTGAACTCACGCTTTTTTTGGACGGTATAAGTCCAGTTAGATTCCTTTCAACTCCTAAGTTTCTTTTCTATTATCTGTTACGATTTGTTGCCTTGTTTCAACTTCATTACCAAGCAGCGAACCTTTTTCTTGTAAGTTATAGCATTTGATTGATTGTATGATGTTATAGTAGCCACTTGTAATGTTAGCAAGTCTTTGCCATCAGAAAATGTGGTGGCTAGATAAAGAATCGATAAGTAGCTAATCCTTCTTTATGACATAGATGTTTTGGGAAGAGGAAAAGAAGCTTGGTGAAACTAAAGAGGAAACAATCGATTCCTACATCAGTGCTAATAACCTGACTGGTATTTTGGAACTCCCCTATACGTTGCAGGAATTATGGGGAGGAAACAAGAAGTTAATCGAGTAGTGAGTTTTATGTTCTGAATTGCCATCAGTTTTCATACATACTTTCAGACACATATTTTTTATATTTCGCGTTTTTTTAAGTACCCCATATTTGTTTGAAGCTCAGCGATTGGGCTACTTACTCTTTACTTCCTGGGGTTCGCAACAGTAATTACTCGCAGAGTAATAATAGCAACAGCAGTTTACGAAAATGCGAGATCAGTGCTATCAAAAGTATTTTTTTATCTAGTGCCACAAACTATGTTTCTATTTTCGCGTATTAGTTTTGTTTTAATAGCATAAAAGAAACCTGAAAGTGGGTTCTTTTGTGGTTTTTTTTTTGAATTAATCCTGATTCATCGGGCTCATCTTATGCCTTGGATTATTAGAAGTTTTTAGTCTGCTATTTTTCAAGTTACTGTTTCATTTTGTAAGTAAAGTTTACATCTATGGAACTAGGTGAACAAAGAAGAGCCTCCAATGATCACGCAGCCTCGGATTCTACGATTTCACTTCGTTGTGATTCAAAAGTCCACGGGGAGAGGTGTACTTTCAGCGTCAACAATCTCAGCTGTAGGCGGCTCTATCACACCCTATTCGAGAGTGCTCATCCTTTTATAGTTTAGGCAGCGTCCTTAACATGATCGCTCAACCTCAAACTCTCAAAGCAGCATGTTTTTTGGGGTGGGAGGGTGGTGGGAGGTTGTTTTCTCACTTGATTTTGAGGAATACTTCCTCAATTTTCTACCTCATCGCTGATAGTTTGTTGGACGAATCCAAAAATATCATTTGAAAATCCGCGTCCGGTAGGTCGGATAAGTGACTCAAAGGCCATTCTTAACCATTTCTTGGTAATTGCTGATAAGCGTGAATAGATACTGTTCAAATCCGTGTTTAAAAACTTCTAGTGCCCTCCGTTAATGGCTTTCGCCTGCTAAAATTAAGCTGCTTGATTTTAAGTCGGAGAAACTGGAGGTTTTTCGAAGTGGAAGGCGTGGAGAACTTTACATACACTCCGCATATTTTAGTTTTTGTCGTGTTGATGTGCTCACTTGTCTTGCCAACATTGCTCTCCGACCCAACATTGATGTGTCGCAGCCGATTAAGAGCCATTATAAGTGAGTTTGTGCGTATTTACACTCTTCATGACTGAACGTGGGGTGGTAGAAATAGTAATACTAGCAATTAATGTAACTAGAAAATTGTCTTTTGAGTGGAATGAGGAGATTTGTGTAACGGGAGCGAGAAGCTTGAAACATCAGAAAGGCCTCTGGAATAGATTTTTCCAAATGATAGTATGAGATAGTTGTTTCTACAAGGGTCCTGTAACTGATACAATAAGTTTGCTACGTGGTTTCTAAATAGTTGAGTTTTTTTTTCTATGATACAACCATGTCTTTTCAGACTTCCTAATGCTTGCGCGGAAATTCTTACAGTGCGCAACAATAATGAAATCACTAATGCTTTTCTTGAAGTAAGCAAGCTATTACATTTGAATCAGGCGGATCATAACATAATATTACCGTTTATGTTTTCAAGTGTGAAGATGCTTTGAAAGCTGTTAGGGAGTTTTTCGATGTCAAACCGCCACCGAATCACTTGTTGTGCGGGTTCTACATGAGAATTGTTCAGCACCTGTTTCATCGTTCTGTAGACAAGGTCAGGTCTAATCATTAAGGTGTTTGTATCGTTCTGTAGACAAGGTCAGGTCTAATCATTAAGGTGTTTGTCTAGTCCTCCGATATGTTTTAGTTTTAAGGCTTTGGAAATACTCTCATCGTGTGATTTCATATCTCAATGTGCAGCCCATTTACGCATGGGCGCTGTTGCTGAGCTGTTGCAGAATATTGTTTGGATACCTCAAGTTGCTGAAGATTTTTTGAAGATCAAGAAGGTGAGTGTTCAAGTATAAGACTGGGCTACACGAACACTACTCATGCTAACAATATAGAATGTTGGTTGGTAAAGAAATACATTCGCATGTAGCATTGACGTGCTGGGCATTCATATATTTATATATATGTTCTGTTTCTAATCAGCTAAACTCCGAAATCTCTTCATTCGTTCTTCAGTATGACATTTACTCTTATACACGTATGTCCTACACTTGTTTGGTATTTCTGTAAGCATGTGACAACCCATCCAGAGTTACCACCAGCTAAGATTAAGATTCTCTGTGATCTTTTTTTCGAAAAATCTGATCTATCATTAGATTGGCAAGGTGTAATGCAATGCGAGTGACCTTTCTCGTGAAGCCCACGACTTAATTACATCCGGGCTGTCACCATACCGTGCACATACTATCCGACGCGCAGCACCGTCACCATCGATTGCGTCGTCGTCATCGATTGCCACGTGGCATTGGGCGTGGCGCCTAGTGTGCACTCAACACCTTGCCATTCTGTGTCATGTTAACGCGCCGAGCGGTTGCTTTTCTATTTCGTATCTCGTATTCTCGCATTACCATCGTCATCGTATAACCTCGACTCTGAAGGGATCGGAAGCATTCGAGAGATCGCACTACCAAAGGAGAGGAGATAAAAGAGGCTCCAGGGTGCGAGCAGAAGGATGGAAAGTATGAGCTGCCAGCCGTCGCCGGACGGCTGAGGTCATCAGCAGCTCGGGAGTATTGGGAGCACCATGGAGCCTCGGGTCAGCGAAGGAACTCGGGGCTGCGGAGAGGAGCGGTCCGTGCATGACACACGTCTGCGGACACCGCATCGCTCTCCTTCCCCGAGGGCAGAGAGTGCCGACGACCCCTAATGAGGTAGGAGCTTGACCCGTAGGTATAACTCGTATTTACTGTTGTATGAAGATAAACATAATAACCTTTATGTTCGTGTTTTGTAGCAATAGCCGTGACAACGGGCCAATGCTTTTACATCGTGTTTTCTACCATTACTCGCATTGACAATAGTTAGTAGCTTATTCCAAGACATCTATATATGCACATATATTCGCACGCACAGGGAGGCAGAAGTGGTATGCTCGCAGGTAAGGAAGGGGAGAAGGCACTGGATGCCACACCACCTGATAACAATGCACCTACAGCACACAGCTTCCCGCTCTCTCCGCGATTGGGGGGTTTCAGGTAGGACCGCCTTGTAATGCGTGGCTAGGCGAAACATCAGCGCCCTTAACGGAGAAGACCCATCCCGTTCGCGACAACCTTGATGAGGTTAATTATAATAGTTGGAGATTCTTTTTAAACACTCATGCAGATGCACTCTGCTAATAATTGTTTATTAATTTTCATTTTTTTATAATTTTAGTGGTATGTTGATAGCGGACTATGTAGAAAACTCGTGGAACAACTTGCACCAGACCTACCTGTATGTGTACACGAAAATGTTATGGAATTATTTACAAATCTTGTTAGGTAATCACTTGCACTTTAACCGTGCTTTTTCCCTATAGTACACAACTTTTTTTTCCGGATTACGCACTTTCCAAGAAAGTTTATTCAAGCGTTGAACTTTACTGATGATTCTCTTTTTCAAGGAATACGAGGGATCAAATGTATGCTCTCGATATCAAAAGCGACGTTCTGAACGATGAACTGCAGTCGGAGAGCCTTGTCCAAGAATTCTTAGACAAAATGCTCGCGGTATTTTTTTTAAATCCTTTGATGGCATTTAGTTTTATTCAAGTTTGATTTACCATATCATTTCTTTAATCTGTCAGTCAATAGTGTTGTCAAAAAATAGATTCTTATTTAGCGCGACGAAAATGGCATTATATCAACGTCTGTCACGCGGAATATATGCGAGATGCTCATAACCCTACTGAATACAAATCACATCCTATTCCGGCCAAGCCACACTTTATATAAGGAGTTTAACGCAGAGATTCCTTGGGTAGGAGGAAATCCTTCGGCGGGCATGGATGGTGTAGCAAGTGAAATTGCCAAGGAAGGAGCTGAAAGGGTATATAATTTTTCTTTTACGGAATCTTCATGGTTGTGATGAAAGGTACTTTTGAAGCTATGGTGTCCTGATTCTGAGAGAACCGTCGAAAAACTTGCATCTGCTAGAGCTTCGGAAATGATTAAACTGATAATTGAAGACCTTGAGGTCGGTTTGTTGGTTAGTATTCTTGTATTGTGCCATTCGCAATGATTTATTTATTTTCACGTCTTTCAGTTCAACTCCGATGGTGAAGGCGAAATTTGGTCATATATTCTTCGCCTAATAATAGAACTGTGTGATACGAATCACTTGGAAACCCATGAAACTCTGGTGGAACACTTTGAGAAAAGTGACATGCGAAAGGTACACTACTTCATGTTCGAACTTTAACAAAGATTTTTGAACAGTAATATTCCGAATTTCAGCTTTTCTCTCTAGTTTGGAGTCATCCTCGTTGTTCAATTTTTCATGGCTTTCTGCAGCGAATAGTTTCTTTCATCCTCTTCTCTTCTACTCAAAATGAATCTCCTGCTATTGCTTACTTGTTCAAGGTATATTTGTAATTCGATGTTCGCAGATGTTTTTTTTAACGGAAGTATCTCGAAAATAAGTTCCACTATTTATGAATCCTTTGCGATTCTTTTTCTTATTTACTCCTTTGTGTTCTTTTGGGTAGGTGAAAATCCACTGGATTTGTTCTGACTCCGAGAATTTTGATGCATTGTTCGGAAAATGTTTAGAAAAGCTGTGAAAATATCTTTCAATCAAAAATAATTCGCGAAACGTTTTCGCTGTGTGTTTCGTGCAACAGTCATCTTATACATATGTGTGTTCTTGCTTGTAATTCACCCAAAATACTTTTTAATTTACTTTCAAGTTCATTCACCTCCACTAATTGTTTCAGGGATTAAGTCTTCCGGAAATCATACGTTCTGGTATAAACCCAAGATGTGTTTTAAAAAAGATAGACTTGTTTTCACTCCGCTCACATCATATCCACTTGGCATTGGCTGTTGAACAGGCAATGAAAACTTCCTCTAACGCACGAGCTGTACAGAAATTTATAGAGGTATGAGAAATGCTGTCGATACTAGATTTGCCAATATACCGTCGATTTTCTAGGAGTTTCCCTTTTGGCAAGAAATCGTAGCTAAGGTTGATGAATGGCTAAGCTGGAATCTGCCAGATCCTGAAGTAGCTAATGTTCGTCCGATGAATCAGCATGACACTATAGGTAGGATATGCTCAGTAGTGTGATAATGCCATAGTACTGCTGAGTGATTCGTCTATGAATTTTTCACGGCTATTGTTACCATTGTCAATTCCTTTTAAGATGAGGCTCTGGATGAATTCGAGCGGCAAATTGTTGGTCCTCAGCAACATGTTCTGTACGAATTTAAGACCCAGACGGTTAGTGTGCCGATGACGGATGTTTTCGACACTGCACTAGGTGAACTGCAAGTGAGCTCGGAGACAAAAGGGTAAGGATTCTTCACAAGGCAGTCCCTGTCTTATCAGAATGGCCGCTTTCATAATTCGACGTGCGTGCCGACACACGGTGGAAACGCAGGTACAGTCTTGCGTGCAGCGTGCGAGCGGCTATGCGACGGCGGCGCTATTCAAGTGTGTGACAGCAGTGGCACGTGGTCCATCGGCGCCCAATGTTGTCAACACCTCTCTAGCACCGCCGTCGCATAGTCGCTCGCACGCCGCATGCAAGATTGTACATGCGTTTCCACCTGCGTGCCGGCACGCACGTCGAAGTAAGAAAGCAGCCAATGCAGTCGCTGTGACGGATTACGAGTTTTCTATCCATAGCGTGTTTCAGGTTCGTAGTGCATAATCTTCGTGTGTGTAAGGTAGATATGAATATGGAAGAAAATGACGTGGACGAAAGCGACTTCGAGGCCATGTGCGGCATGAAAAAGTCGCCACTGCTAGATGACTGGCCTCTACAAGATAAAGGTAAATCATGTTGATAGAAAGTTTATTTGGTGAAATACTTATATTAAAATAGATGCAGAATGCTGTGATGCTTTATTCACTTATTTGTTGTATTTATGTCCTGTTTGGTGAAGCTCCAATACTTCTTCAACTGTTACTTGCTCTAGGCATCCGATAGAAACAAATGTATGAGCCTAAATCAGCTTAGAAAGATGTGCATACGTTTTAGCGCGTCAAGCGACCTCGGATGATGATTGGGCAGCAATGAGAAGGTCAAACGAAAGCACAGCTGACGATTGGCCCGGAATGAGTAGTGGAACGAAAGCCGAAGAAAGTTCTGATTTTCCCGTTCAATGGGACCAGGCACCCTCCTCCAGCAGTGAGTATTGTCCCTACCGCTGCTATTGATTTTGGTGATGTTCAATTCCTAAGTGAAATCGTGGCATAGCATCAAGTGATATAAAACCAGGCTGCCTCAAAACATGATGTTTGATAAGGTGGATTCAAATTTATGTTGCATTGGAAAAAGTTGAATTCGAAGAGTGTAGTTCTGTTTAACTGCTTTTTTTNTTTTTTTATACCTTTTTTGCAGCACCGAGTAGCTCGCCCAACCTGCACCGGGAATATCTATAAAAACTTCTCTCAGGAATGTGATATGAGGGAAAGCCTAGTCATTTTATGTGCAGTTCAGTAAGCATTTTGATGGCAGAGCATGGTCGCGCGGAACATCTATATATTGCTGCAGCTAAGCTCTATCCGAAGCGGAGATCATTTGTGGTCTCTGTACAAAATTGGTGCCAAAATTCTTATGTATCCATGCGAGACCCTCAAGGCTTACTGGATTCAGATTGTTGAAAATGAACCTCAGTGGATTGTTTCTGTCAATTACTTAAGGACCCATTCTCCAAATAAGATAAAAAAAACCAATTTGTGAATTCATTGCATTAGCGGATCAGAGCAGAAAAATACAGTCTCTTATGCTTCAAGTGGTTAGTAGTAATGAGCTAGATGATTTCGAACGGTGTAATTAGCTGTCTAGTAGTGTAGCTCTGACACCGTATCCATCATTCTCGGGTGTGGAGGAAGGCGCTACCGCCGAAACATAAATCCCCAGATGTTTGTTGAATTCTCACGTACAGTTTGAACAGTCACGTCTAGTTATTATATTGTTCTAAAGCTCGTCGAGAGTGGGGAGCAACTCGATACCTCTGGTACCCTTTTCACTTTCAAATTACTTGTCCCATTCATATAAACCATGGAAAAGAGTGGAAGTTTCGTTCAAACTGCATTTTCAATTTCATGCCCGGTAAGGTATTTGGACAGCTCGAGTAGAAAATTTGATGAAGCACAAGCAGCCGCAGTACCGCTAGCGCACGTACTCAGCATCAACCTGCTATCGTAGCGTAGCCCAAGTTATTTTAGCCGATATCCATTCCATTGTGAACCGGTTCATTCTTTGTTTGAACCTCGCTCTCTGAAGCCTTAATTATCAGGCCGCCTTTTACGGTTAGGCTTCGCCCCTATAATCTCTCTACTTGACTAGACCTACCGTGTCTTGCTTTAAGTTGTTCCGGAACGTGGCATGGATCTTCGAGGGGAATATTGCGCCCGTCATGCATTAGCGACATGAGGTTTTTTTCACGATTGTCGTGTGGGTCCTGCGTTTTCTCGTTGTCAAGAACGTCTCAGTGCTGGGACTAAGAGCTCATCTGAAGTGACTGCCAGTATTCAATTAAGACAACCTAGCAATCTAATGGTTCCTATTGGCTAGTCTAATCCAACAGAGTTCAGAGAACATTCGAAAACTCATAGTCACTTCTCGCCTTACAGTCTGAAATGGCTCCCTTATTTACTTATAAAAACGCTGCAAGTGCAAATGCTTATCAAAACGTACGGCGTGAAACGGGCCCATGAGGTGGTCCTGCATTCTACCTCTAACAGTATCACTCTCAAAGGCGAGAAGTTGGTTAGATGATCGATAGAGAGCTGTTTAAGTCTATCGTTTCTACTAAACTGATTACACTTTGAACTCACTATCACACTGTTAGCCCATGTATCCCTTGTTATGGGTTTTAATATAATTACTGAACCCTTCCCATACATCCCAACAAAGATGCATTGTAAGTCTTGGCCCTTATAATGCTCTCGCTATGAGTCGCCTTCAGAATTTTCTTGGTGCTTGTGGTTTGTATGGATACATGTTGCGAACTCTTCTGACTTCTCATCGCTTTGGCGTGCCCTGCAACCATTGACAGAGTCTCTCCTGATTCACCGTTACAAATGACTTGTGACCCACTCGCCCTCTTCTTCAGGTAATGCGGATTTCGTGGCACACTTTCAAAGAAGCAGGTAGGCTTTTAAAAAGGCCAAGAGCTTCGTCAGCAAAGAAGTAAGATGCGTTTTTTTGGTTTGTTTTGCTTGAGTATGAAGTTTTTCTCAGAATTCTTCTAAATATTGATAGCCATAAGGCATTAAAGAGAGCAAAGTAAAAGCTGTGTAGAGATTCAGTAGAAATTGCGAAGACAGCGCCGGAAGGGCTGTTAAATTTGAGGTTGTTTCATACCTCAAAAGGTTTTAAGTTAATAGAGTAGAATTTGTTCTCAAGTTCTGATTTCATGCGAAGGCTTTATTCAATGTGGCCGTCCTTAAGGTTCCGAAGGTTGGTCTTGTTTTCCACAAGACAACAGCACGCCAAGAAAGGTCGTAAATGATGAGGAATGGGCTGATTTTTCAACACTGAAGACGGCACCTGGCGTTTCTTCAGACAGTTTTAGTGACTGGCCTGGTGTTGAGAAGGAACAGGTGTGTCTTCTGCAAGGTACTTAGCAATACCTTGAAAATGCAGAGTGCATTCCGTTTTGCTTCTTTTTTTAAATATAGGAACTATTAGTGATATTTTACCTCGGCGCATTTCTCTTGTCTTTTTCAGATAGGGTGTAACTCTTTCGTGGTTCTTATTAAGGTTCTGATGCGATTTCCTGACATCCATCCCTTTTTTTGATGCGTTTGTGGCGTGTATAAAAGGTGGCGGTCTTATATTAGTTAATAGAACATATCGAGTTTGATCGTGGTAGAGACTAGAAACCCTTCATTTCAATTTTTCTTAATGTAGGATGTTCAAAAGTTTATCTATTTAATGGATAAGCGGTGGACGAATTTTGTCAGTGCATATTTATATGTGAATATGTTTGGTTTCTCTCTGCGGTTCTCCTGTTCAAAGTTTTTTGTTTTAGTCTTTCTACTATTTTCCCGGTAACAGTTCTGTTTCTGTGACCTCTCTTTGTTATGCAAAGAAAGCTGGATTCTATACGGATCATTGATATAATTATGGGTGGAACAGGGTTAAAGTCTGACTGATCTACTAAAAAAGGAGGTACGAGTTCGCGACTTGTTCAAGCTGGCACTTTGCCCCTAGCAGCGCTCTTCTGGAAATACATGGCCTAGAAAATGCTTCGACTGTCAGCTGTTCACAAAACGAAACGATAAACTTCTGTTAATCCATATAGTTTAAAGGAAGTAAATCACCATTTTCAGAGCTCCGACTGGCCGCTCCCAAAAGAGCCTGATGCCGTAGATCCCGTTATGGCGGGCTTCGCTACAGTCGTGCTGAATTCCTCTTTAGATGAACGTGTTGTCAATGAGAGTGAATGCTAGGTTCATTTTCGATTTCTTCAGCTCCGCATTTTAAACAAGGTCAATTGTGTTCTGCCAAAGCGCCTACTGCACGGTGTCTTTATGTATTCTCGTGCGTATCAAGCAGTAATTGGTTGGTTGACTTTTGCAATCACCGTATATCGGCTATCAAAGGTGGCCGCTGGTGCTGTGGTGGAAGGCGACCCTGAAAGAGCAATATCATTTTATGTATTTACTGTAAAACGTTTTTGATAATTTATATACTTGGCAGCCATATTTCTGGGGCGCCTATTTTGTAAACAACAATTCAGTTTTGTGTTAGTTACTGTGCTCATGGAGTACTAGCTGCCAAGTTTGCCAACCTAGCGGTTTTCTAGTCAACTACGCAGCTGAATTCAGGCTCTTCATGCACTAGTCGCCACCTTCGATGTAATGATTCTGATCCAGATATTGCAGTTCACTCTTAATCATATCTTCCTAAGATGTTCGCTTACCGTTTTGTTAGTTAGTAGATGTCATGATTAATCCGAGGAACATTAGATCGTTATATATGTTGGTGTATTGATGTATATGGTATTGAAAAGTCGACGTGAGTTACTCAGAACTTTCGGCAACATTCGGGTCCCTGTATTCTTATGCCTTGCACGTTCTATCATTAAGGACTTGAAGATACAACAAATTGATGAAATGGTATGGGCTGGGAGGGGTGAACACTTTTCCAGTATGCAATAACTCTATTGCCTTCCTTACTTCTTGTGTTGAACGTCATGCACTTGTTGAAATCAGTCCGATGTAATTAATTCCGGATTTCATTCCCTTTTTGGTGTAATTAACTTTCAAATATCATTCCACGGTGTTTACGGTCATCATATGTATAAAGTTACTGTTGTACCGGTTCATGGAATAGGTACCATTTTTGGTGCTCTGTATTTTTTTTT